GGGAACTTTCATCGATCACTCCAAAATCCATACATCAACTAAGAATTTCTCAATACTATGTGGAATGCCAAATTGCCTAGTACGTTTGACTTCACCTAACTCTTTCAGAGTTCATGTCTCAAGAATTCATACCACGAAAGTCACCAGGAAGATTGAAAATGATACTGTTTGTTCGCCTTCACATGTGTCATGTCCAGTAAGCACATGTGCCTCTAAAATAACTTCCAGAGAATTTTACAACAAGCACATGGTGGAACATCTGAAGAAAGGTGACTCATTTCAATGTATCCTTGGAGGATGTTCTTCTCAATTGTCTTACATTGCTCAGTTCAGGACTCACAACTCACGCAAACATCGTGTATGTCGTGAGGTAGATGCAGTTAATGTAGAAGATGAAGCAGAGGGCTCATGTGATGGGAATGTTCCTGAATCTTGTGAAGACAGTGACGATAATTCATCTAATTTTATTTTAGAGGGTCTCGACTCTGAACCAAGCACTAATGAAACAGACTTGTTTCCTGATTTCCTTGTAAAACAAGAACTTGCTAGATTTTATCTAAAATTAGAGGCAGTATTCCTTTTACCCTCTAGTACTGTGCAGGCTATTGCTGAAGAGATAAAGGTTATGACTGAGCTTATACATTATAGGCTAAGAAGAGGTCTTGAAAAGGAACTCGAACCACTCAACTTGGAAACAGATGTGCTTAAATCAATTGTCATGAAAACCTTCAAGCATGACACTGTCTTTAATGTTCACCATAAACATGAAGATGCTGAGCAACTTGGCACCATGCATATGCGCTCCAAGTTTTGGTCTAAGAATTATCCTTTTATCGAGCCCCAGGAAATATCACTGGGAGTTGATGAAAAGGGCAAAGCTCGCAAGGCCCACTTTGTTTCAATTCGTGAATCATTGAATGTCCTCCTTAAAGATGAGAAAATCAAGCAACTTGTCCTGGAATCTTTTAAACAAAAGTCTGGAGATTCTGAAGTTCTCCGGGATTATACTGATGGCACTGCTTACCGAGAACATTGCAAAACACATGAAGGTCCATGTTTGCAAATATTAAAGTTTCAGGACGCTTTTGATTTTAATCCATTAGGTGCATCTTCAGGATTATATAAGCCTCTAGGATTCTACTATACGCTAGGAAACATTCCTCCAATGTACCGGTCTAAACTTGATCTCATCCAGCTAGTTTACATGATTCTAGAGCAAGACCTGAAACCAACGCAAGAACAAGAGCTTCAAGATTTTGATAAGATGAAAGAGGCATTGAAACCTATTCTTGATGAATTGAAAGATTTGCATGAAAATGGCATTGAAATTGATGGTCAGAAAATAAGGGTCTGTTTAATGTTTGCTCTTGGGGATTCTCTTGGACAGCATGTAATTGGAGGTTTTGTTAAAAACTTTTCTTCCTCAGAATTTTCTTGTCGTTTCTGTCCTATGTCCAAAACAGAGTTTCTGCTGAAACCCTATGAAACCAAACCCCTCCGAACTAGAGAAGAATACAATGAGTATGTCATCATTGCCAAGAGGAAGTGGAACAAATTAAGAAAAGATGGCCTGAAAGCAAGGAAGAAGGCACAAGAGCAAGCAAAGAAACGTGCCGAAAAAGTTTCCAAGAAATGCACTGCTCCCTCCAAGAAAAGGGACTTGAAAGGACGTATTAGTAAGAGTGCCTACCAGAAACTGTGTGCTGTGAATTTCAGAGGTGTGAAGTACAGACCCTCGCCTCTCAACTCATCATCATTCCATGTTATATCTTCTCAACCACCCTGTTTAGCTCATGATTTGTTTGAGGGTTTGGTTAAAACTGTAATTGCTGAGATTTTAAAATACTGCATCGAAGTGAAAAATTGGTTTGACCTGCAATGCCTCAACAGACGGATTCAATTATTCAAATGCAAAGGTTCAGATGCTCGTGATGCTCCAACACCCTTGAAATCTCTGGACAAATTAAGTGGTAATGCCTGTGAAAACTGGAATATGGTACGTCTTCTTCCATTCATCATTGGTGATTTGATTGAGGATCCACAGGACCCTATGTGGCAACTTTATCTGTTATTGAAACAAATCTGTGAATATGTTTGTGCTCCTAGCATTACCAAACGGCAAGTTTTATTCCTCCAGCACAACATAGAATGCTATTTGTCTCAAGTTCAACAATTATTACCATCATGCCTAACCCCAAAAAGTCACTTTTTGTGTCATTATCCAGAGTTGATCATTTGGTTTGGCCCACTTATCCGATTGTTTACTTTAAGGTTTGAAAGTAAACATTCATTTTTTAAGAACGTGGTAAAGGCTTGCAAGAATTACATCAATATAACATGCACCATGGCCAAAAAGTATATGTGCCGTTTTGCCTATGACCATAGTACTGGTGACATTTTACCTCTTGACCTCTTGTACAACAGCAACTTTACATTTGGACTAAATCTGAATTCTTTGCCAGAGGATTTAAGGGCAGCATTCCCACCAAACTTCAATGCATCCAGCTTTATTGAGCTGAGAGAAGTCAAGTTAAATGGAATAGAA